GTGCAAACCTGCCTCACACACACCCCCGTTCAAAAGATAACAATATCAGCATTATCAAAGTGTTACGCACGTGTGAGCCACTTGTGCCGAGAGGAGCTTGTTTTGTGAACATCCCTACAGAACATGGCGTCTGATGGGTGTGTCTCTCAGCTGCTTTGGAGACTCGGGCCTCTGTGCAATCTGATGCTGGAATAAGTGATACATAATGAAAGCGTGCCCGTATCTGCTTGGGATGTGTTGCGCAACAGTTCGTCAGAGGTAGCAGACTCCTGACTGGAGGCCAGGTTCTGGGGCTTGACAGAGCGCCAACCCCTTTTGTGCCGGTGCCGCCCCAGCTGGACTGTGGGCTGTGCGGAAAAAACAATGAGATAAATAACAGGGGAACTGTGCAGCGGGGTACGCGGCCCTGCCCCTTCCTGTCTCCGCTGCCGCACACCACCGCCTGTGCGAGAAAAAAAACACCTTCCTCTCTTTGTTGCGCCTGGTTGACCATGCCAATACGTCCGTCAGCATCCAGTCGGCAGGCATCGAACGCCCCCACAACCCTCCCGCCCTCTTCCTGGTCTCCTTCCATGTCTTTCATATGGTTTCGCACACACCTGCATGCGTACATTATACCAACACGTGCTCCCACAATGAAATTCACACACATCGACTGTATGTGGGTGACATTTTCAACTCGGCACAGTCTCCCCAGCTATTTGGAACACTCCATGTAATCCTGCAGATATTTCTGTGGGCACGGCGTGACCTTTAATTATGATTCCACAAAACAAGTGGCATTGTTCAAGAGCAGCACTTAGCAAGAGCAAGAAGGAGCTAAATTATCAGAGGTGCATCCCTCTTAGCAACGGGCAGAGCGGCGTGGTATTAGTCCGCTTCAGAGGAACACAAACAAAGCTTCCTCTGGAAATCTGACTGACCGAGATAAGAGATCTGTTTTTTTTTTTTTTCGTGCAGTCAGGTGCATGTGCGGCATTCAGCTTTGTGCCATGCATTTCCACCCTGAGCACAAACAAGAAACACAAGATCAAATCCCCTCTTGCAAGTTCTTGGAAAGAGAGGAGCTCACCACAGGCTGGACATGAAAAGAAGCCCATCCAGAGCAGACACGGCACACAAAAGCCTGGCTCATGTAGACAGGAGCAGGCGGCTGCTGGGAGCTGAGCAGCAGCGCGGCGGCAGACAGACAGACAGGCAGACAGGCGGCATGCCCACCCAGACTGTCTCTGATGAAAAGCCCTGCTCTTGGTGAGGAGCACGGCACAACAGAAACAAAAGCTTTTAAAGCGACGAAACAACGCCCCGCGCTATCTAATTGTGACTGAGAGAAAACACACATCTGAACCGGGAGCCAGGAATACTCCCTGTGCTCCTCCTCTGCTGGCTTTTATTCCTTCTCCTTTTCAATTGCTATCATCCAATTTGAGATCCGTTCTCTCCGACTGTGACACGCTGGAAGTTGAGGGCAGGTGCGCATTTTAAATCCGCCTGGTGGGAATGTGACTTTTAGGACAAAAGAAACAAAAGAATGTGTGAGATGTTTAATCTAATATGCACACTACTGGGATGGATTACATGTTAATTTAAAAAGAATCCATATGTGATTAATTTTTTTTACAAGCTATAATCACTAAAAGCATTTTTAATTGCAGTTTTACAATCAACAGGTCTGAGATGTGTTGAGCAATTTTGAACTCTTGATGCAACAGTAGCATTGAAAGCAGACAATGCAGGCAACTTGATGCATGTGGTGCAGCAGTAATGCGCGGCTAAAGAGTGTGTGTGTGTGTGTGTGTGTGTGTGTGTGTGCGCGCGCATGTGTGTGTGTGTGTGTGCAGTCGGGCATGGAGAATGGAAGAAAAGGGTTTGAACAGTAGAGAGAAAGGGGTGTAGGGGCCTAGAGGGAGGGCAACAGACAACCGGGAGAAACTCGGACAAGAGAGTAGGGTGACTTGCAAGAGGTGACATCATCCTCAATTTGAATAATCCCCCAGCCTGGGAGGTGATTGGCTGCTCTTAGAGAAAGCAGAGTTCCTCTGCTATTCGCTATTCACTCCTTTCAATTCCAGCATGGCGCGCTGTCGTGGTGAATGCTGCCTTCAAGGACTCATTGTTAGCTCCTGTTCCTGAGGCCTGTTGGGATTTTTCTGTGTGTCCACTTGAGAACAAACCTGCAGTTCAACATGTTTATCCTATTACAAGTTATTTTCGTGTTGACACGCCGCACAATAATTGTAACAGTCTCCATTTATTTGCTTTGCAGCGAACCGCACGGTACGGCAGAGATAGCGAGAGGGACATGACCTTAATTAATATTATGCAAATGATAGCATTGGCTGCTCATTTAACTGAACAAAGTCAGTTTTGTTTTCAGTTTTTGTTTTGATTCATTCATGCACGGCTGACCAGCGTGGCAGGGCGGACGCCACCTTCGTACAAAGACCTCTGTAGCGGTGGAAGGAGACTCGTCAGGCTGGTGTGACTGATGACATTTTGTTATAATGGCTACATTTAGGTGTGCCCGTACCTGTGGGCATGACTGTAATTAACCTGCTGCTGAACCCTGATGAGGCCGACACCCTGCCCTTCTATCGCGTGCATTATTCTAATGGCATCTTAATTACACTTTTTCTGAAGATCCAGATTCCAGCTCAGCTATTCCTGTCCAGGCAGCGTAACATTTCCCCGGATGTCATGCTGAAGCGTGCTGT